AATAAACCGAGAGAAACCAAGAGATCATAAATCAAAAAGGAACAAAAAAACAAGCGATAGTAGAAAGGAGTCCATTGCATATATATATATATATATAAGGGTGAAAATAGAGAGATGAAAACAAGAACGTCAAGCCCTTTTAAAGGTCCGCCACGCACGCACACCAACTCAACTCGACACAGACGAACCCTGTAACCAAACCTTCTCCACAAAATAAGCCTCACGCACACTCCACCACACACTCTAGAAGGTGTGTGCCACGGCCAACAAGACGCCTTGAATGACTCTGCAAACACACAAACAAACACGCAGCATCAGGCTGCGCCTACTCTGACGGAGAAGCTCTGCAACGCACCGCTGCGCTCGACAACAAAAGGCACCATTACACCCGGAGGCAAACGAGATACCTCACGCTGAAACTGCTGGAGGCTCGTCACAGGCTTGTGATTGACCTGCTTTATAACATCTTTTTTTTCTATCCCAGCAAGAGCAGCAGGCCCTGTTACATCCACAACTAATACCCCATCACTATAACGGGAAGAGACACCATTGATCGTGACACTATCCGTTGCTTTTACCCCAATCACTGAGCCACCAGAACCATTTTTCGTACTGAGAGTTCCGCTGCCACGTGGAGATGCAGTAGTGTGGCGGGGCAAGTGTTGCTGCGGCTTGCGTCTCGACTCTAATTCACTTGCATTCTCTGCTGTACTGGGGCCATTTTTACCCAGACTGGTCACGGGCTGCACATCCACATCCTTAAGTAGCTCTGCAAGTTTTTCTCGCCATTTGTTGAGAGACATCACAAACTGGGGTGCGAGAGCACTCAAGGTTGTGGGAAGGCTCATAGGCAAGTATATGCTGGTGGAAAGGAGAATAAAGTCATTCTTAACGGATGCCCCAACGCCGCCGCCACACATCTCTCGCCCTAGTAAAGCCCCCTCCATTAAAAACTCGTAGACACGCAGTCGAACACCCGGGTCGGGTGGAATGGTTGCCAGGAGGGTGGAATACATATATAGCCTCTCTGTTGTTGCATCAAAGGTTACTAATAAAGTGTACTGCCCGTCAACACTTATGACACAGGTGTTGTTTTCATCAAACTTTAACACATTCTCTAAGCCAAAATCTCTCCCCATGCAAACTAGGTTATCAACCGCGTTTTTCCACGCATCATACAGTTTAATACCATGATTCAGCACACTATTATTTTTGCACGGTAACATATTTTTTATCACGTTGCTGGCATCCCTTGTTAGAGATGACTCATCTTGGACAGTGTCGTCAAGGTGGTTGCTGGCATGATCATTGTCTTCACTCTTTATTAGACCAGGTGAATGTCGGGTTTCACTCTGCTCTTGTGTTTGCTTTAGATTTGACTGACATTGCTGGGTGGGAGCATTATCGTTCACGTCGTAGGGTTTTCCCCACACCACATCTTTACTATTCAGCGCCGCGGAAGGCAAATCCGATAAATCAACACCTGACCAGCCTGCCCTCTTCAACCCCGCATGCATCAACTCGAGTGGAGGCGGCCTACCAACACGGTCATAGTACAACAATCGATTTTGGTGCGACACAAGTCGGTTCAACTCCACTTCTCTTTTGTCGCGTTCTGCCGCGAGAACCTGTTGCTCTATTTCAATCTCCTTCGCACGAATATTCACCTCACGCTCCTTCGCCCGCCGCTCGTACTCTTTCCGCTCCTTTTCCAGACGCTCCCTCTCCGCTGTGTACATGGCTCGTTGTTGCTCCAGCAGCGCCCTGCGGCGCTCGTTATCAAGTTTCCGCTGCGTCACTACTCGAGTCGCTTCCTCTTCCGCTTTGAGCAACTCACGTCGTGTAGCCAAGTCTGCTGCGCGCCGAGCTGCACGCTGTACCTCGCTCTGTCGCAGCTGAGTCAAACGTTGTTTTTCCTTCTCAGCAAACTCCTCCTGTTTACGAACCGTTTCCAACTCCCGCTCTGCCTTCTCCTTTTCTCGCTGAAGTTTTTCCTTCTTCCTCTCTGCTGCCTCCACCTGATCCTGTAGTCGGTCAATTTTTCCTAGAAGCGTGTTATCGTACCTTGTCACTTCGTCACCAACAATTTCCTCCTGCTGGCGTATGGTTTGGTACTCCAGCGCCTGACGGTGGGGGGAAAGAAAGGATGCGGTGTGGTTGGTCGTCGGGTCGACGTTAGCGCGATGCTCCAGAGTGAGGGTGGAACCATTCACAATGCCGTAGGCGGCACACACTTCCTCGTCCCGGGCGAGCGGGGTGCCGCTAAGTTTGATAACTTGATCCGCAGCGGGAACGGAGCATGAGGTGGCTGTGGCAAGGCACTGCTTCAGTCGTCCAATCGTCACTCGTCCAATGTCCCCTTTAATGTTGAGTCTAAACCGCTTTCCATCGTCGGGGCTAATGACGGTGAGGACGTTAACGTTCATTAGCTCCCTGGGTGTAGGCGCAGACTAGAAGTGTGCTACACCCACAAACAGACCACTTCCACGCACTTTTCACCCGTCTTTTTCACTGTCGCTGGGAAATAGAGCCGAAGGGAGAGCAGAGAAACACACAAAAAGTGTAAACATCAACAGCAACAAAGTGATGGCGCCGACAGAGAGAAAACATACCATCACTTTATCTATCATGCAGCTCTACCATGCGTCTTTGTTCAATTCTTCATCCGCCCCCCTCGACCTCCCTCCTCTTACATGCCTCACCTAACCCCAACCCAAATAAAAAAGCAATGAAGCAACAAGTCTCTAGCCGCACTCAACGCCACAAAAGGAAGGCGTCCAGTTGTTGACGTGCGTCACCCGTAAAGAAACACCCAGTACGTTGGCTCCGATACGGCAAGGTTTTTCCTTCTTCTGCCAACGATGATAGTGAGGCTTCCAGCAGTTGAGCCAAGTGTCTCCCCTCACGTGTGAGGCCGACGACAGACCATGATGACACGGTGTCGATTGCGGGCACACGGAAGTACCGTGGGAAGCATGACAAAAGGAGAGGAATCATCGTCAGATCACCAATGTTGTCACGAATATACGACCGACTTGCGGGTTGGAGCGTGTGACTGAGTGCCGCAAAGGAGAGGAAGCAATCCTTATCACCGCCGTTGGCAAGCTGCCCATCATCATCAACATCAAGTCCAATCTCCTCCGCACGACGCAGTTGCTCATGATGTAGGCAGCACATAATTTCAAGCACCACCTTTGCAGGAAGAAGCTTCCGGTACACGAGCGGTGGTTCCTCCGATAGCGTGCGAGGGCGGATGCACGGCAGCTGTGTAGGTGCTGTTGGGTCATAAAAGCCATCCACATACTTATTAAACACAATAGGCCCCGGCCTTACCTCTCTGTCACTCTTGGAACCCCTGTTACTGTTGTTCTCCTCAACGCCCGTCTCGTGAGCCTGCATCACATTGTCCATACGGAAAAAACAAACACGCAACACTCTCTTCTATTTCGTGTTTAAAAAGAGGCGAAACACAACCTTGCACGCCTCTAATCAGGGTATCATGCAGATGTTCATACTGCCGCGGGGTAAATTGACGCAAAAGATGCTGCACAAATGCACGATTGGCGGAGACCCCAGCAGGGTAACTGAGGTCCTTCAATGCAAAAACGAGAGTAGGGTCAGGTGGCATCACAATTGCTGGCGTTGTCACTAACTCCTCATAGACGATCGCGTGTACCCTGAAGAATGCGTGGCCCCACACATCATCTTTTTGCGTTTGCTCTTCATTTGTGACTGCTCCTTCAGTGAGATCATCTTCAACGAGAAGGCTATGGAACGACCACTTCCACCAATCCACTCTGCGCCGTGATATCTCGGGCTCATCAAGCTCCGCCTGCAGGTCTGAAAGCAAGAGACGCACCTGCAATTTTTCCCCTATGCGTGAGAGGGGCATTGACGCTGCGGTTGTAGCTTGCAGATTAATCCGACGGCGAAGGAATAACAGGCCCATTTCCATCGGGGGAACCGATGTTCGTGGTGAGGCGCTGCAGCTGCCGCTGTTGGCGCTGGTGTTGCGGCGGGAGTGAACGTCCCCAGCGACACTCCACTCCTAATGCACTGAGAGCGGAGAGCAGAAGACCACAGCGAAGCTTTGGCAAGTCGCCATGGTCCAAGACGAGAAGAGGGGCAAGGCTCGGGTAGTTTGCCACCGCCCGATCACGTATGGCGGCGAAATCTACGAAGCCATCATCAGTTTCTGCCACCACTAAGGAGCCATTCTCCCCACCACTTCCGTCGCCAACGGGAACTATCACTGAAATAAAATCCAGAAAAGGTGCCAGACACCGCGAGAGCCGGTAGCGTTCCATTGCGGCCGGCGCAATAAATCGCTTTCCCATGTGTACAACTGTGCCTTCCTCCCCAGCTGAAAAAGGAAAAGCCACATGATCAGGCAGCATCTTCGCGTCCGCCTCTGTGTTTGTGAAGCTTGCGACATTTTCTTGTGTATGTGCGGCTGATGTCACGAGGTCTTGCGCCGGCTCCCGCGTTGCCGCCGTTGTGGCCGACAAAGTCACGGGCAAAACACCTTTCCCATCTTCTACAGACGCTGCTAGCAGTTGGACCATTGTACCATTCTTCGTTACAGCAAAGACGTCGTGTGTGTAGACTAGCAGCAGTCGTCTGACGTCGTTGGCGAGCTCGTGACGTATAAAAGAAGCCGCGGCTGGGGTTAGCGACATACGCCGGATGACCGCCAGCGGCACCGCCCTTCTCACTGTGACTTTTTGTGGTTCCAAGGAAAACAGAAACGTGGCAATCTCGACTGCCAACTCCCGGACACCTGGTCGAAGACGTAGCAAAATGGCCGTGCCGTCCTCGTTACTTGCCTCTTCGCGTTGAACCATTCGACGCTGCAGGGAGGTTAATGTAAAGACGCCAGAGCTTTGAATCCGACTTGTAAGGTGCTGCCTATTTATCCCCGCATCGGTACTGTTATCTGAAACCCGCACCGCTTTGGAGTTGCCGTCGCCACGGGTGACATCAGCCGGGAGTAGACGTAGCAGCAACGGCTGAAAATGTTTCTCAATATACCCCAGTGGAACAGGAGGATAAAACGGCACGCGAACACCATTTTCTCCCCCTATCTTACTATGGCTTGTCGCCGTCGCCTGTGACACCGTATTGCAGGCTCGGAGATGCTTTTGGTAGGCAATAAAAACATCCGTCAACGCAATGATGATCTTGTCCACGTCCAGCAGCGGCCGCTGCGACGCCAACAGCGGCTCAGGGTGCGCCTGCTGCGAGGAGGCTGCCGGTTTCTGCCGCTGCTGCCGAGGTGGAGGCGGAGGAGGCATGCGCTTCACGGAGGACGCCTTGGGGTTCCCTGTTCCTTTCTTCCCACCACCGCTCACGATGAACCGCGCTGGCGTGTGCCACGAGGCGCGTTGTCCCTGAGCAAGCGCCACTGTTGCGGCGCTCCAGAACAGGCAGCATCCAAGACTTGGCAACTTCCGCCTAAAAAGGTGTGAAGTCCTCATGTTTTTGCCACGGTCTGCGTCCTCCCTATCCGAGAGTGTACTTGCTAGTCAGAAGATCACCTGCAGTCCAAACTAAAACCGTGCAAGAGCACCACCACCTCCCTCCCTCCTTTCCTTCCTCCATTCTCAAAGCACTCAAACAAAAAAGGCACGAAGCATCGGGGTAGAAGCAAAAAAAAAAAACGATATAGAAAGTAAGGGGAAAAAAAGATAGAATACGGCCTCGGCCAACATGAATATATATATATATATATATAGAGAAAAAGAAGAAGAAAAAAAAGGGAATAATGCCCCGCCGGGCAAATCCCCTCCCTACCCCTACCCCCCTCAACAGCAGCAACGCAAGAAGATGTCGCAACGTTATCCCAATCACTGCAAAAAAAGACTCCATTGCAAAAGACACGCGGAAGCACGAAGCAGACATCCTCAGCAAACAAGTAGCTCGCAAAGCACCGGGGGGTAAGGTGGCTCCGGTGTGTCCGTCACCGCCGACGTTGACACTGTCGGTGAATTAAAAAGCAAGGACTGAGCTCTTTCCAGCGGCAGTGGCCACAACAAAGTTGAAGGTTCCCGCGCGTCACACAGTTCTAACCCTCCCTGCAGCGTGACCCATCCCGGTTGCCACGGTAGAAGTGACACAGAAAAAGTTATGGTACCGCGAGGATTAATGAAGCCTAAAGGACTCAGTAGTGGGCCTGCATACAAAAAGGACGGTGCTAACAGATCAGGCCGCACCCGAAGAGACAAATCAAACTGTTTTTTCGTGTCGTAGTTAACGACAACACACTCGAAGGTTGTGGGCTCTCCAACTCTTGGTGTCTCTGGCGTCACATTGCTTACAAAAAAATCCAGCGTTGGTTGCAAGAAAAGGTGACTAAGTCGCACCCGACTGCTGCGCTCTACGCCACTATCACCGTTGGCCCGACACCACTTCCATTCCACATATCCAACGTCTGTTAAGTTGGAAGGCGCCACTGCCCCGGCAACACCAGTAGCAGTGTGACGCAATGGAAGCGAGCGAAGAAAATCTGGCTTAATAACCAGTTCAAAGTAGTAACACCGCTTATCCTTTGGGCGTAAATAAACGTCTTCCACAGCGTCCTTTCCACCACAGGCGTGGTGCATGCGAAATGCCTCCCCATCATGTTTCGGCTTCGCTACACCAGCAGGCCACCATGACGGAGGGGACCAATCTAGTTTCGCGGTAGAGTGACGCGGCGGCGGCGGCGGCAAAACCTGAAAGACGTCTTCAGTGTGCAGTTTTACGCTAACAAGAACCAGAGGCACCGATGACACGTTTTGAAGGCACATTGATAAAACGTATTTTTTTGTTGGCAAGGCGATATTTGACATCATTTCCTCAACTGTGGGACCTGTCGCGCACAATTGAGTAGGTATATTTTTTCCACGTCGAGTTATAGGAATAACGTGAAGAACGCGATTCATTTCCATGATGGTTTTCTCCGCCTGAATGCTAAAGGACCAGGTTAGACGCCTTGCTTCCTTGACAATATCAATGTAGGTTACCAGCACATCGAGAGTATGCTGACCTGGTTCCTCAAGGGCACATTCCACTGTAAACGACACGTTGCCTTTGCCCTCCAGATGATGGCAATCGTAATCCACAATCCTTGAACGATGCAATGTCGGGTGCAGACAGTCAATGGAGAAACCCATGGAGACCAGTGGATAAGTCGCAGCGTTGTGAAAAGTTAAAAAGGCTCGAAACGGTTGACCAACAAAAAACTTACCAACAGAGGCGGGAAGTGTGAGAGCAGAGCTAAACCCGTTCACGGAGATGGAAGCTGCCTCACCGCATCGCCGCACCAAAGGTTGGACGTCGTTGTTGCTTACGCCAGTGAGCGAAGGATGATATAGTGGGTTGGCAAGAATGTCAAAAAGGATGTCACCTTCCTCCACCAACTCAGGTGACACCGCCTCACAGAACTCCGGCCTGCGGAGCACTGTTGCCCGTATCGAAAGCGGGTTTGCGAGTACAGCGGGAACGTAACTCGTTGCTGAGAGCACCGATTTTGTCCCACTGCTGCCTAACTTTGATTCATTTGCACTCGCCGACACCGTGCCGCTACGGGATGGCATCTCTTTTCAAGCAGCATATCCCAGGAGGAGTAAGAAACACAGAGAAATAAAAAAAAATTACAGAAGTCACAGTAACCATATCTGTGTCATCACTACATCCAATAAAAAATTAAATGCCGTCCGACTGTTGCAAATCAGCACCTTTCACAAGGCTTGACTGTAAGCATTTTCGATATGAAAAATGGAGACTCGGTGGCAAAACACATTTGGAAACTGAACACACAGAGACACATACACATGAAATAAAAGGAGACTCTTTTTTTTTTTCTTGGGACCAAATCCATCGGCAGCAACCAAGGAAGTTCTTAGGACTAATCTGGTCCACACCAAGTTTCTTCAAGCCAATGTCTTAATGGAACAAAATCCGGTGTTTCTACCAATCATCATCATCATCGTCCATATGCCTCGGGGGGAACTTACCCGGTACTGGCGGTGGTGGTGGTGGAGGCAGGACCGCCTTTGCAGCAGAGAGTGGCGGTGCCGTCACTGCTTGGGAAGCTGACTCTTTAGCGTTTCTAACTCCCTTCGAGGGAGCAGACCGAAGTACCTCTTCCTCATCCTCGTCCGAGTGCATTCCAAGAATGCCCCTCCGGCGATTAGCAAGAAGGGAAGAGAGTGTGCCCAAATTGCTCTTTGGTGCAACCTTGGGAGCTGGTCTAGACTCTGTCTTTGACGGCGGTCTCGTGAGGGCACTCTTCGCTGGTGGTGGCGGAGGTGGTGGTGCAGGAGGGGGGTTACCAAGCACATGAAGAATCCTGACAGCTGGCGGCATGGATGGTGGCTGTGGCAAAGGACTCACTGCCATCTCTTTGGCCATTGTCGTCGCTGTTGTTGTCTTCATCATCATCGGCGGTGGTGGTGGTGGTGGCGGCGGTGGTGGTGGTGGCGGTGCTTTACCCGTGGGCGGCAACGGCGGCGGCGGCGGTGGCTCTTTACCCTTGGGCGGCAATGGCAGTGGTGGTGGTGGTGGCGGTGCTTTACCCGTAGGCGGTAATGGCGGCGGCAACACTGCTGGCGGCAAGACCTCAGGCGCAAAAGAAGAGGTAATAAACGACGACGGCGTTATTGTTGCTGTCGGGCCGAGGGTGATTGATAGTGTGTGACCTTGCGTCTTTTCGCCATCACGTAGAGACCTTGTGCTCTCTGTTGCTACTGCACTCTCCTCACCAAGCCGCCGCTGCCAACTGGGTGCAATATTATCCTCCGCCTCCAGTGTGTATGCGTGCCAGGCAACATCAGCGATGCCTTCCAGTGGCAGATCCTCTGGAAGGTCATTCATAAGGTTTACCACCTCTTCCATAAGCGGAACAAAGGCATATTCATCAGAGGAGAATCGTGTCATGTAGTCCCGGTGCACATCGGCCGCGCCACCAAGTCGCCGCCTGGTTGCTACCACACGCTCCTCCCTCTGCTGTTTCAGAACATCTAACTCATGGTACTCCTTGTAGAGATTTTCGCGAGTGTTAAACAGGAGCAGTGAGCTGACACTCATCAGTTGCCGCGGCAGACGTCCAAGCCCTCTTTCTGCTACGCTGTGATACCGCCACAATGCCGCCAACGGCATAGCGTCAGCCAGCCCCGCGCGATGTAAAGGGTGCTGCGGTTTTACAGGCCCCTGCGCCTCCACCTTCCCTTCAAGGCGCTGAATCGGCCGATGGTAAAAGTTGTCTCGCCCTAGCTCGCCACACTGCTGGTCATCAAGGACACTATTTTTGTCATTGTTGAGGAGGCCAGCGCCCTTCTCGCTGTACACTGAGGCTTCCGTGTCACAGTCGGAGGTGTCCACGGCGAACAATGCTGGCAATATGGGATGCTGATGCCGCAGTAAATAATCCCGTGTTTCCAGTGGAGCCTGTGCAAGGTGCATGGTACGATAGCAACCCTTAGGAAACCGAGACCGGCTCTTAACCATTATCGCCTCGCGACGCCCGTGCAGTTGTTGAACACGTGCAGCGCACATTTCAATACGCTCCTTAAGTCCTTCCAACCTCTCACGTGAACTCTGAACTGCGGATTCAATGTTTCCAAATACACAGCCACATGTTTGGTCCAGTTGTTCAAGGGCGTTAATCACAGACAGCATTGTGAGACAACCCCCATTGGTAAGAGGGACAGGTACCGCATACCCGTACATTGTTTTGACGGCATCATTGTACATGAATACTTGTATCTCCAAGCCCCAAAGCTAAACGACACACGTTCCCTACAGTTGAAATATCACACTGTTCCCGTCGCCCTGGACACGAGAGGGAAAAAAAGACGAAAAATTTTTGTTAACTGTCGTAGGAGCAGCTCACCACGCCGAGAAAGTAGTAGTAAAGGCAAAAAGAAAGCAAAAGCAGTTCAACAACGTGAAAAAAAAAAGAGAAACCTTAAAAGCAGAAACAAAAACAAGCAAACATAAACGAGGTGGTTGTTGTTCACGCCATCAGGTTGTGCTGCGTAATCTTGCCCTTGGGCGTGATGAGCTTGACGTGGATGCCACGCTGCTGCAGCTTGCCGGCATCGCGCAGCTCCTCGTACTGGGAGCGGAGAATGTTCGTGAAGCCCCAGTACTTGGACATGACAACGATCTGGCGGCCGGGGAACTTCATCTTGGCGCGGCGGAGAGCCTCCAGCGCCTGTGGAATGTAACCCTCCTTCGTGCGCATCGACAAGAGAATCTGGCCAATGCGAACACGAGCGCAGGTTCCGTTAGGCTTACCGTAGGAGTGCCGCATGCCCGTCTGCAGACGATCGGCACCAGCGCAGG